GCCAAAACCCACAAGATTTGGTAGGGTTTTTTTTTTTGTTGGTTGGGTTGGGTTTGTTTTGTTTTGGGTTTTTTCTTTGGGGAGTTTTGGTTTTTTTTTAATTTGAAATACTCAGTTCAGCATCCTGATTTTTGCACTTTTGGGATCAGCTTACATTGTGATACATTGCCTGAACATTTGTAAAATGATCTTGTCTGAACCTACCATTTTCTGGGTTTCTGTATGCTAATACCTCCCTCAGTTTTGTAGCACTGATATCTATGGAAATCTCTCTACCTGTTTAATGTTTACGCTGCAGGACAGTATCAGTATCATGCGATCTACTGAATCAGCTTCAGAACAAGAAATATAAGGTGACTCTGGGTAGTCTTCCAAATATGCCATTAGTTTATCAGCATCATTCTTATACTAACAAGTGCCTGGGATTAAATTCAGTAATATTTAGTATTACTGTATTTTTAGTAAGACTATAGTACAGGAAATTCATCCATTTCCTGATCTGTGACTTTACCAGGTAGTGGATTACTCACTTTTCCAATAGACTCCCCATTTTCTCTAGTTGGCAGTGTTTTCTGATAGCTGCCGCTAGATAGCAGACCTTTGCACATACAATCCAAGCCTGTACTGGCTTTTAATTTCTATTACATTGTATTTACTGAAGGGAGCCTCTGCAAAATCTTTCTCAGCATTGCAGCTTCCCAAACAAACGTCTGCTGTAATAAATTTTCTGAGTGTCCTTATAAAAATAAATATAACTCAGAAAATACCATAGAAATTGTCTCACTAACTTACAGGTTTTGGGTTCATTGCAACCTCTTCTAAAATTTTCCCATGCACACCTATTTAGTGCAGAAACAAATAAATAAAAATGCCATATTCCTGAACAAGGCATAGTTCTAACACTGATTTTACTGCAGAGACCCTGACAGCTTCAGATAACTCCTAAAGGTAATGATGCTGTAGTCAAGGACTTTTAAAACTCATTATAGCTACAGTCTTAATTGTAGTCCTACAGGCTTAGCCCTATATAGCCCTATAAATGTAGCAATAATTATACTGGTCTTGGATAACAAAGCCTGCATATCTGATGAGAGAGATACTCACAAGCCCATCAACTATGAAAATACAAGGGAAAAAAGAGGCACATCTTACAAATCACATCCCTGGATCTCTGAAGTGCTCCCCAAAAAACTTTGTCCCAGATCTAAAATTATTCAGTATCTCCATTAATGGACTGGATTCCAGAACAGAATATGCTTATTTAATATGCTAAACTGGGAAAGATTGGTTTGGAATTCAGAACTTCGCAAATCTGTGAAAAAAGCAGGATACAATTCTGAAAATGCAGATTTCTCTGATAACACTATCTGCAAGTCAGAGAATGATAAAATGGTACTAGAAACTGCAGGAAAAGATCTAGCGGCTGTGACAACCCACAAGCCAGCAATGAGTCAGAGTTATCAATCTACTGCAAAAAGGAGTCCTTAGTAGGGCGTATAAATAGAACCAACCCTTCTCTCCAAAGAATGTGAAATGAACTTTTTATGGCACTGCCAGTGCCAGAGCTGAGCACTGTGAGGAGTTTTTCATGAGATCCACATGGAGAAACCAGGGACAGATGAACAGCGCCCTAGAAAACATGGCCATTGAGGAAGAGATGATGATTGACAGGTAAGCTTAACCAAAAGCATTGCTCCTCCCCCTGGAGGTGAGAGCCATCACACTGGGCCATGCTGTCTGGCCTGGGCTTCATGTTGTAGCTGCAGGAGTTGCTAGTGAGAACCTGGGTGGAGGCAGCACAATACAACATAGAAAACAAATGCTAACTTGTGAAGATGGGAAAGGGGGTATGTGTGCACACACATGAGTAGAAAGCATCAGCAGCAAGGCTTATTCCAGACTGAAGTGGGGACCTAACTTCAGAGCAAAGTAGGAAATGGAGTGATATCCCTGAGTGTAAGCATACACTATCAGATGCCCTTCATCATCAGAGGTTTTAAAACGTACTTTTCACAGTTTGAGGCTCCCTGGAAGCTAGAATGTGTGACCACACATTTCAAAGAATCTTTTATTTGCTATTATTCTCTTCCTCAATACTACCCTGCAAGTGTGCTAGTGTGCTTTTTGGCTCCATTATGGATTGTTACAAAGGCCTCAAACTGCTAGCATGGATCTAGGCAGCACTTCAAAAGAAACAGTTCCCATCTTAATACATTGCAGCTCATTATTAGCTTTCATTTTTGTTCTAAGAGACAGATTTCATACTACGTGACAGTGCTAACAAAGCAAAATGTTCTTCTTTTTTCACAGATAAATTTAGGAGACCCATATGCTTCATAAAAGCTCCAGATATTCACTAGTAGCACTCAAGGGCTTTGTAATTTGATTTGAAGAGGCGAGCCTAATCTATGACACCTGTTGTAGTTACAATGGTCAAATTCATCACTTTGTTCCTGTAAACCTATGACAATTTGTTCATTGTTCAAATACCTTGTGCTTTTTAAAGCTGTAATAATAACTAGTGTTCTCTAATAGCGGTTTGTCCATTGTTCTCGATGCACGAAATCCTTATTAGTGTCAGAAGTGCCAAGGTATATGTTATTTGGTACATACTGGAAAACTTACATAGAGCAAGCTTGCTATCGTAGATTTTGTGACTGTTGAACTCAACTTCATAATTTCAGGGTTGTAAGTGCTCTTGGACAAGTTCAAGAAATGGACTCATGAGAATCCCATGAGGTTTAACAAGACCAAGAGCAAGGTGTTGCACCTGGGTTGTGGCAGCCCTTGGTATCAAAACAGCCCTGACGAGAAAGACTTGGTGGTGCTGGTGGATGAGAAGCTGGACAAGAAGCTGGACATGAGCTGACAATGTGCGATTGCAGCCTACAAAGCCAACCCTGTCCTTGGCTGCATCAAAAGCAGCGTGGCCAGCAGATCAGGGAGGTGATTCTGCCCCTCTACTCAGCTCTTGTGAGACCCCACCTGGAGTGCTGGATCTGGCGTCCTCAGCACAGGAAGGACATTGTCCTGTTGGAGCAAGTCCACAGGAGGGCCACCAGGTTGATTAGAGGAATGGAGCACCTCTCCTATGAGGAAAGGCTGAAAGAACTAGGATGGTTCAACCTGGAAGAGAGAAGACCTAACTGTGAACTTCCTGTACCTGAAGAGAGCCTACAAGAAGGACGGAGAGGGACTTTGTAAAAAGTGACAGGACAAGGAAGAGCAGCTTTAAACTAAAAGAGCAGGTTTAGATTAGGTATAAAGAAGATATTCTTTAGGGTGAGGGTGGTGAGGCACTGGAACAAGATGCCCAGATAAGCTGTGGATGCCCCAGACCTGGAAGTGTTCCAGGCCAGGTTGGGTAGGGCTCTGAGGAACCTGGTCTAGTGAAGGAGGGGTTGGCACTAGATGATCCCTAAGGTCCCTTTCAACCCAAACCCTTCAATGATTCTATGATACCTACATGGAATTCAAAAAGGCTTTTATGAACATAGCACTTATGACTTGTAGCAAAACATTCCCTTCTTTTTGTTCTGAAGGATTTGGTGAAGCATTTCCCACACTACACCTTCCTTAGCATAATTTCTGCACAAAGTCACTATGGACAGCCCCAACTTCTATACCACCCCCTCAGGCAGATTAAATACGTCATGCCAGGCATTTTCTTCCTCTGGATGTTCTTGCACCTTTCTTCCATACCTGTGATTTCTGGTACAGTAACAGCTCCGTTTACCATTTTTAGTGCCCACAAAGACTGTACATTACCTGCAGCTCGTGAGTTGTGTTATGTTTCTCTTCAGTGAGATAGGGAAAAAAGACATACATATGTTTATACATATTTATTGTAGCTTTTTAAAAGTAGCATTTGCAGTTACTTTTAAGCATTCACCTCTCTTCTGCTTCAAATGTGCACTTATTGAGAGAAACATTTACTGGCTTCCAAGTCCAAGATTAATACCAATACTAATACATGCCAGAATCAAGCTTCATTGCTTGTTGGCAGCTCCTGTCATCAAAATATTATACAGTAAGAAGAGTGTAGAAAAGGTCTGTGTTAATTGTTCAGCAACAGGCTGGGGCTGGATTAGCATGACCATATCATCTTCTCCAGCTGAAGCACAACACTTTTCCCGAAACCCAAAGCTCATATCTTAACTTTTTTCCTTTTGTATCGAGTAGGTGGAAAAGGCAGTTGTTTTTTCTACAGTAGCTTAAGTTGATAAGGTAATTAAGCTATTAGGGAGTGTCCAAAGGAGGGCCATGATGATGGTGAAGGGTCTGGAAGGGAAGCCTTATGAGGAGCAGCTGAGGTCACTTGGGTTGTTCAGGCTGGAAGAGACTGAGGGACGACCTCATTGTGGTCTTCAGCATCCTCATAAGGGGAAGCAGAGGGACAAGTACAGATCTCTTCACTCCCATGACCAGTGCCAGGACTCGAGGAAAAGGCATGAAGCTGAGTCAGGGGAGGCTAAGGTTGGATATCAGGAAAAAGTTTTTCACCCAGAGGGTGGTTGAGCATTGGAACAGGCTCCCCAGAGAAGTGGTCACGGCACCAAGCCTGACAGAGTTCAAGAAGTGTTTGGACAATGCTCTCAGGCACATGGTGTGATTCTTGCAGTGTCCTGTGCAGGGCCAGGAGTTGGACTCGATGATCCTGATGGGTCCCTCCCAACTCAGCATATTCTATGATTCATCTATAGGAAAACACTTGCTTAAAACCTTTATATTTAGAAATGTCTTCTCTTCATGTAACAGCAAGAAAATACTTGAAGTCTGGCATGTAGTTAAGAGAACTGTGAACAAACCAAATTTCATCCTTGGATAAACATACATAACTATTATAGATTTCAATCTAACCCACACACAAAGTTTTACACATACTACAAATAGAAACAGAAGGTATCAGCAAAAGACTATTCTTACATTGCTTCAAATTAATTTGCAACTATACAATTTTAATGTAATAGAAAAAGGGAAGGAATATAACAGAACAGGTATGAAGAGAAATATTTTCCAAACTTTTATTTGTGCACATTCATCAGGTGAAAAAGGTAACTTTTACAGCTTCTTTGGTGCCCAATATTCAGCATACAAAAATGTAAAAGACTATTCACAAACAAAACACAAGCTCAAGCTAAAAAAAAAAAAGTCTTAAAGGTAGTGCACATCGTGACAGCTTTGCTTATGAATACACCGAAATTACTGCAAAAATAAATAGAATGTCTTTTTAAAAGCAGCAATTTCATATCTTGTAAACTTCCGTTCTTACAATACAGCACTGTTAAGAGTAAAATCCAAAAGAACTGGAGTCTATACTGTGGCCATGAGCAAGTAAAAGAGTCTGTATTCCTCTGCTATGGTTGGTCCAGTTTTCCTTTTTGCTTTTAGTCCAATGTGCAGCAGTCTTTAAAGGTGCTCGGTTAGGGAACCTAACCATCAAGTGGTGAGTTATAAAATTTATTTCCTGCTTTCAAACACGAATGGGTAAATCTGTTCCACAGCACTGGCAACAGCCTTTACGTTTGGCCCTGAGACATAGTTAAAAAAAAAAGGCAGTAGGAAGAGAAAAATTAGGGAATCAGAAATTGAAACAACAACAGTATCTTTAAAATAACCTTCATGTTTTTAGCTATCACAACCTTATACTGTAGACAGTAATTTTCCCCCCATTTCTCTTAACTTAAGAAGGTGTTTCTCTTATCAGTTTTACTTACAAGGAAAGACTTTCACATCAAATCTGCAAGATGTTCTACACTGGTCAATGGCTAGACTACAAATAAATAATACTGTCATTTAATTTCTTAACAACTTGTGTGGCTTTAGATTTACTGGCTTAAACAGTCTAGAGAAGAAGCAGATGCTGAGTGGCAGAGGTAAAAGAAATACTTTTACTTATGTCAATCTGCTGGGAAATTGTATTTCTCAAAGCCTAGCCACTTTCAGCTGTTGTTTCAAAAACCTACCAACAAAAACTGCTGCTAAATAATGCTGGATTTGACTCAAGTATGTTTCAAGCAATGTTATTTTATTTTTGAAAATTATAAACTATTACTTTCTGTCATGGGTTTTGCAAATCTGATCTTAGGACAAAACCTGCAAGCCAGGAAATGGTTTCATTATCTCAGGACAAAGCGTATGAAGGTTATCTAACATAATCTATGAGTATTTGATGAAAGAAAAGGCAGAATGAACTAGTGATGCTTTTTAATGGTACTAGACCATTTTACGCAATGAAAAATTAAGATTGCAAATAAATGAGCAGTGACATGGCAGAAGATGTTAATTCTGGATAGAAGCTTGGTGATTCAGATAAAGGAGAGCAGCAATTTTTCACATACTTTGATGACTGTGAACTCAGAGTTTTCTTAACCCTATACTTTAGATTTCAAAAGTTTCTTCCAAGTATAGAGAACTGTTCAAAAATGGCTCCCAAAATTAATAACTTCAGTATAAATTATTTAAGTAATTATTGCTTCCCATGCTCAGTCAGAAAGAAAATGGACTAGAATAGGATTCTTCCTGTATTTTCAAACTGGTTAAGTTAAGCACTTAGCTAAAACAAGAATGGTGAAATGTCTTTTGGGCAGATACTGCACCCTCCTTAAATTTCATTGCAATTATAGAAATGAAAGTTCTAGAGAAAGCCTTCAAACAGTGAAAGTATGAGTAGGCAAATAGTTCTAGTAAAAAAACCTGCTATTCTATGTAAGGCTGAAGACATGTAAAAACTGGATCATCATTGTAGGGAATATAAGAGAAGAAAAAACAAAACAAACACCCAAAACAACCTCCTCATTGCTCATTTTGAAGCATCAGTGAAATAAGTATTCTTTCACATGCCAGTGACTTTTATTATCTTTTCTCAATGTAAATAAATTTTTGATACTTGTCCCATTAGAAGAACCCACCTTCCTGGGTTTTTTTGGTAACATTTCTAATTATGTATCTCAAAATTCTTTGAGTCAGTGGTATGATAAGTACTAGTATTACAGAAACATTAATCCATAAGACTCTGGACATTTTTTTCCCCCTAGAAAAAAGGCCTAGACAAAACAGAAGCCTTCAAAAGCAACAGAGGTCTGAGATATTTCAAACTCACTAAAACAACTAAACCAGAAAGATGCAAAACTTGGATGTTTATCATATTTACCTTCATGTTTTGAAAGGACAATTCTGAAAATATGAAAGTGATTTTGTCCCGTATATGAAGTAATAAGAATCTTACAGAGAAACTGAATCTCATTAAGAGGCTGATAAGACATGCTGACAGCTTTTTATTATTGCAGTAGTACTAGGGCTTCTTATTTATTTTAAATTTAGTTTCTAGATTTGGCTAGACCAGTTGCTCTGTTCAGAACATATACTGCAATCTTGAAGTACTTTTTAGCCCTTTATATTTAGATTACTATCTGATGAAGTTTATCTTCTTCCAATATCTTGTAAGAAAAATCCCCCTAAACCTAGCTATTTGTTAAGGAATTAAGATGTGAAAATAATAAAAAAAAATCCTTACCCAACTTCTGAACCAGTAGCTCTAACAACTGCAACACATAATTCCCACTAAAGTGAAACAAAATGTTTTTTTATTTTAACAAGTATTTTCTGAAAAACCTGACTACTGGAAACCCCACGAGCAAACATGAAAGAGAATGAAAAATGAAAATCAGAAAGAGAGAGGAAAAAACATGGCATGGTGCCTCCAAGACCCAGGACAATCACGTCTCTGATTACAAGGGAAAAATCACTGATGCCTGTGATTCAGTGGTGGTTCCCTCAGTCGAGCTTTAACGAAGAGAACACAAGTCTGAAGAACTGCAGGTACTGCTCAACTTCATTTATGAAAAAATGCTATGCCACCCTATAAGTTTCCACAAATGTCCAGTTTGATAAAAGGTATTTTTAAAGGGATGTTAATGCTACATGCAATGTAGTTTACAGCACTACAAAGATCAAAAAAAGGAAGAAAATTCAAATATTTAAATACATAATAAATACCTGCATCTCAAATCCTATCTCACTTTTGTTAAAAAAAAACCAAAACAGACTAAGTACATTCAATCTAAGTAATTGTTTGAGCCTACTAATAATAACACTTTCTCTACATCTCTTCTGGCACTTTCACTCAAAAACAAACTATATGCTAGCACTGGGAAGCAAAATCCTTTCAACATAATATTTTGACTTTTACACATCTTTCCTTCCTAAGCCTACTAGATCTAAAGTTAAATATTCCCAACAAGTTCAATATTTATTTTTTGACATCAAAATACCTGTAACTGTGATACTGCCTGTGGAAAAAATCTGTAAGGTAGCTCTGAGAGATTTTATTCTGTAACACACGGCAGGATGAAGTTCTGGTTCATAACTAGAAAACAAAATAAAAGGTAAAAAAGAGAGATCTAGAACTGAAAAATAAAAGCTTAAGAAGTATATCAAGACCAAAATTCTTTAAAATCCTACCATACCTCGCATGAGGTCTGTTATTCTTCGTAAATTCTGGCAATCTGATCTCAAAGGGCATGTTGCACACTGCTAAAACATTCACAACTTTAAAATCTGTGAAAATTACCTTTTTGGAAGAGAGGAAAAAAAGACATTAGAAATTCAGTTTACAGTGAGGGAGATATAAGGGTTGAAAAAAAAAATAAAGAGAAATATGCTACTTAGAATACTGTGATGAGATTTCAAAATTAAAACCTTGTGACTGATTCATTTCTAATAGGCATCTATTAGATACTTAACAGACTTAAATAATTTACATTATCCCTGTATGGTGGAATATCTGTTGAATTAGATACCTCACAGTTGTATCATAGGGTTATAGTACAGTTTAAGAATGAGACACAAAAAACAACTTATACTGCTGCACTAAACATCTCCACACTGAAAAGAAAGTAAATTAAACAGCTCATGGAACAACAAAATAAGCAGAGAAAAAGCTTAAATTTCACTGAAAGCTTCTCTAATACCTTGTTGCTATACACCATTTTTATTAAAGCTAAGAATAAGAAAAAAAGGTGAAAATTGTTTTGCTCTAAATGTCCAGTGGCCAGTACAGCAAACTGGTTTTCTACTCTATAACTTTCTGAAATCCATTCGCTGGATTTGCTTTCAGTTGTTCTTTGCCACAGACATTTTAGATAACAATAAAATAGCCAAGAAAAAAAATACACTGCTGAGAAGTCAGTGTTGGCGGTATCACTAGGGAAACTTTTGCTCATTTTCTGAGATTTCCTAAACTTAAAATGACCATTCTTCAGCCTAAACATTTTGGAAAGACATTACCAGTAGAAGCAACTTAGCCTTATAAAAGGTCAACTATCAAATTAATCTTCAAAATATAAACTGCTTGCTTTATTATAAAACTTGGTGCATCCACCCTGGAAGCACTGTTCACCTCACTGACTTACTGTTCATTCCAGCTTTAAGGATTTGTGACAATAAGGTGTCAAACTCATGCTGGGGTCTGATGCAGCATTACCAAGATAACCTGTCACCTCTGCCTTTATGCACTGCAATCAAAAGGAGTCTCTCCCTGAAAAGGACAACTACTGCGTTTATTTAATTGTCTGCCCCTAACTGAATCTGTGAGTAAACAGTACAATAAAGTATCAGGAAGTTTTAGGGTACTAAACCATGCCACTTTAAGTTGTTCATGTGGCTGTTCTTCAACCCTTGATAAGAAATGCAAGTGATGTTTTTGGCTGGTAATGTTAACCCAAACCCAGAAAAAAGAGTGGTTTCCTGACTTAACTATTTTGCTTATTTCCCGCTGTGCAACCCGATAGTGCAGAAGCACCTTTTCTCTTCCCTTTTTAATTAAAGAGGCTTGAACTTGCCTTTATGAAGATGGAAATGCATCTGCCATTCCATCAGAAATGAGTGAAAGTTATGTTCAAATGACAGTTAAGTTTATCCTCTTCAGCACTTTTTCCAAATCTTTCAAGATATTGTAAATTCTATCCAAGAAACATCTGTGGGTGGTTCATTTATTAAATTTTGTTGTCCATTATCCAGTGAAGAAGCACTACTCTGAGCTGCCAAACAAAACTCAAATCCACAAAATAAACAGCATCTGGAAAACGTATGCCAACACAAAAGGGCCATCTGAGTGAAAACATGCTCACTGATAAATTGTTATGCTCCCTCCTTTTTGTTTCTTTCTAAAACATGAACTACCAGCATTGCTTGAGTCATACAAGTCCTTTTTCATTAGAATTACCTGAAAACCTAATTTCTGTAGACTACGAGCTAATCGTCTGGCACCAAATTTAGCTTCTTCTTCACTATAAAGGAGAAAGAAAAGAACTTTGCATTAAGAGAAATAGTATATATTTGTGTGCACACATATCACAATAGCTACTCAGACTATAAAATGAACTGATACATAATGCAGCACATCAACCACGATCACATGGACAGCCTTCACTTTATCCTACTGTATGTATTACATTTTAACTACCTAGACATTCAAATGGAGTCCTTTATGCCCTGTTTGAAGAATATCTTGACAATTGGCTCCAGCAGAAGTGAGAGACATGTTTTGATCATACATGATTCTAAGTACTCTTAAGATACAAATAAAATCACATAGTCTGGAATTAACATCCAATCATCTTCCATTTTGAAACAGACATCATATACAGAAAGTATGCAAATTTACTATTATACCTTATTCTTACTTCACAATGCAGACATATCTTAAAAGAATTCAGCTGTTAAGAGTTTAGCAAGTCTCAGATGTAGCTGAACGGAGAATCTGCTTTTGCTTCTTTCCAGTTTCCCGACACTGGTTAAATTCAGGTGGGTTTTTTTGAAAGAATAAGAGATATCCCTCAAGAAAGGTCATCCCTTTCCAAGTCTCAAGTTCCGGCTAAACACACTTGAGTGTGTTTAAGAATCTTAAAGACTCTTTAAGCTTTTCTTCATAAAGGAGTTTTCCCTGCTGCTCTCTCAAGAAGGCTGAACTGATGTTCCTCATGGTGTGAACACAGTCTTGAGACACACACTTCACACAGAAAACTTCCTCGCAAATATGTAGCTTAGCAAGGATCAACATGTGATCCACTATGAGTAACTCTAAACAGTGGCAAGTACCACTTCTTCATTTACAGCACTGTATTTTAAAATACACAAGAATTTACAGCTAGAGAAAGAATCTTCATGAACTCACCTTGTGGCTCCTGTGCAAATAACTTTTCCTGAGGACCAAATTGTGGCCGTAATCCTAGGTTTCCGAAGCTTCATTAAAACCTTCTAAAAAGAAAAGTGGAAAACCTGGAAATTAGCAGTAGTTCAATTTCATACTGGAAAAAAAATTACACAAATTTGTTACACAAATCAACTGTTACACTAAAACTTCCTTTATTTTTAATAGCCTTAAACTGCTCCTTCATCTCTTTCAGGAATTAAAAAAAGCCCCAGCTCCTGAGAAGAGCAAAAAAAGTATGAAATATGTCAGGCTATGTTTCAGTGTTCACAAAATAGATTAACTGAAGGTGTTTTTCACTGAAAGCCACGAACATCGTGTTGATTTTTTTTCTTATTACAGTGACTTGACATTCTGACTCCTTATCAAGATATATTTTCTAGACATAGCCGTCAAATTCTGGGAGGTAAAACGGAACCTGAGGTGTAAGACGTCTCGTCACATACCGTATACCCAGTATTCACCTCATTAGTTGAAGTCTCCTGAGACAGCATTTACTCACTCCCCTTACTGTACATTTAACGTATGACTGACTAAATACCGATCCAGACAGAAATACAGAACTAAAACTCTGCTTTTCTCTATTAACCATACACAGGCATCAGGCAGAAGAACGTTTAGCTTAAGGAACATTTCTAAAAACAGACAACTGAAGTATGTTGAATCTCTTACCCCAACATCACGCTTGTATATCACATTTGCTCCCTCTAATGCAATCTTCCTCAAGTTTAAATGACATCTTGTTCTAAAAACACACACTACGTTTGTGATTAAAATGTCCAGTGCAACATCACTGTCTGCATCCATTGGGGTGATTTACAACTCAGTTTTCCCACCAGCTCACCACGAAGATCACATCCTGAGAAGCAAAAATGATAAAATTAAACATACCGGTAGAAAACTGCCTATTAATGCTATTGTATACATTCACTCCTTAAAAGAGACAAGAAGCAAAAGTGACTACACTCTGACTCATTTGACTGTGTGGGGAGGGGGAGTGTCTGCATCCTGTATGCTAGAAAATAGGAGGTAACTTGTTCAAAGCCACGTTGCCAGACTTAACAGAAATTGTGTATACATATATATAAAAGAATATTTAAACTTGCCAGTTAAACATGTTACAATTTTTACTAACACTGTAAAGATTACTGAAACTTATTCCATAGCACCAGTGGCTAATCTTTCCTCAGCTCATTAGACACCTCAGGAAAATGCACTTCTCTGACTGCTGGAGTTGATAATTCTGAACAGCTTGACACTTGTGTTGGAATGCATGAGCCTGTGAATAACTTCGAACTAACACAGGTTACACAAATTGCAGTCAGTAGACAACCTGCTACCACAGCTTTGCCATCTTAATCCAGCACTCTTGGCCTATCTCTCCCAATTATAGTATAATGCGAACTATACGAATTGTCCTGGCGGCAGCAAAAGCCTGGGCTGAACCAGTGTCCTCTCACTCCCTTCTGCACTGCCCACAGGAACCACATAGAATGAACACATTGTATGGGCAGAGTAGAATCGAGTGTTACTGAGGAAAAGCACAAGTGTTTCTGAGCAGTAACTGAAGGCAAAGGATGGCCAACCAGTGTATGCACAGAAAACCTAAAGCAGCCAGGAAGCATCCAGGCTGCCTGTGCACATTGCAGGTGACACTCCTCACACACACCTCAAACAGGGAAAAATAATCAAGACCAGGAGTTGGGCAACCATTCACCCCAGCCCAAGAATGCCCAACATCTCTTCTGTAGGCACACTAAAGCCAAGACAGTGGACATCTCAAATAAATCTCAGGTGAAGAATGTGGGGAAAGGAGAGGGGGAAAGTACAAAAACATTGGTAGACAGTGGAAACAACTTATATAAAAATTTTAGCATTATTTCATCCAAAATGAGCAAAAACGAAAGGAAAGAACAAAATCAAAGGAAAACTGTCACATATATGAAATGCTCTACATGGTCATTGCCGTGGAAGAAGCGGGAGACTATGCATTAAGAAAAATAATATAGATAACAGATTGTAAAGCATTTATGTAACTTTAAAATTTTCAGTCTTGCATTCTATATCAGAAATCTTTAAGATACAAAATTAATGTTATAATCAGTATTTTCATCTGACTACAACTTCCAAAACATCACGCCATAGTCTCTGAGAACTCACTTAAGGTGCATCTTTGACTATCACTCACTGACAATACCGACGTGACAAACTACAAGGCAGATGTGCTTGATGTACTTGGTTAACTGCTGTGGTAGTTGCTGCTTCTACTCTGCAGCTTGTTCCCTGCTGAAAGAATTATTCTGGAACTGCTGGCTTGTCCAATGTAAGAAAAAGCAAGATGGGTGCTAATACAGAAAAGAGATTAAGAAACAGCAATAGAAAAACAGAAAAACCAAAGGCTCTGTGTGGAGATGAAGAGAATACAGATAAAGAAGAGAACAAACAGTAACTAACTAGTATTCCCAGATCCTTTTTTTATTGAATGAAAAATTATATGAATCCTCAAAATCAGAAATTAATTATTCCATCTGGTTTTGAAGGACTACTACAGATTGGGCAAGTAATTTATGGCACCAGATCCAAAGATAGCATATGTGCAGATTTTGAATGGCATGCAGGCAGAGCCAGCACGAAGCTGGAACCTGTGGCATCTTCAGAGAGGCATTTGTTTTCCACCCTGGCTCCAACTCCTGGCTCCTGCAGAGTTCATTTACTGTAACTCAGGAAAGATTGTCAACAAGATACCTTCAATCAGCAGCATCTCCAAATTATCAGCAAGTGTCTACTGGCACACTCAATCTCTATGTTCTTAAAGAATACCACCATCATGCATAACACCCCTGAAAGGTTGCTAACATCTAAGCAAACCACAGTACTATATGATAATGTCCCCATACAACCCTTGATGGACTATCTTAAAAAGATCCAGGGAGAACAGTCACATGCTCATTCAGAACAAAGGAAAAAGAGGTTGAAAAGAGAGGAAAATTAAACTTTAAAAGGAAAAGTTCTGTTATTAAAGGGGGTTCTACAGGAGAAGAGGTGCCTGTGGAGCCATCAGTAAGGATGTTTTCAGCAATTACAATCTATCTTGCTTAGAAGTACAATCTCCTTGCACAGATCTTAATGGGAGAAAAATTACACAGATTACAGTAGTGTGCCCCCATTTTCATGAGCCATGTTCTGAAAGCACAAGATAACAGATATTTAGGGAGAACCTTTTTAATTTGAAATTTTATTAGACCTCTTGCTAATATTCTAGACTATGATTTGTGACATTCAGTTAAAAAGGGGCATGACTTGTTATAGAAACAGTATTTGAATACAGTGTAAAAATGAAAATGGCTACGTGATCTAACAGCAGCGTTTCATTGTTAAAACTTTTCACTCAAATACTGAAAATGTTAATTACCAAGTTTTTCTAATTTGTATGGATAAAACTCCCTATTTGCTGCTGTTAAATACTACCTGTGTTCTTTGAGAACATGAATCTAAGTGTCAATGATTTTGAACACATCCATTCCTATTTAGTATAGAAATGTAATCCTAACCACTTCCAAGGCACAGTTTAGAACCATTGGGTAAATGAAAATATTACTAGGCTTGGATACTTGTGTCCGAGCAGTGAACAAGCATAACCTATCACAATCTTTGACATTTTAATGTCTCACACTGCACTTACAACAAATTAAAAAAAAATCTAGAGAGAAGATGTCCTGCTACCTTTCTTTGGTAAGCCTCAAAGAAATTAAAATTCATAGAAACCATAAGAACAAAAGCGAGTTAAATGGTTTTAAAAAGTAAAAATACATAGACTACACTAAAAAAAAATCTTACAAAAATGTGTAACATGTTTAAGAAAGAAAGTTGTTCCTAATTATATGTATCTCCAACACCACGATCAGATAGAACAAAGGAATTCTAAACAACATTTTGATCCTCCTCTTTCCCAGTTTTCTCTTGTATTCTCTGCTATTCATACACACTAGCCTGACTGTTATTTCCCAAAACTTGAATTTCTGCATTTCTGTATCTTATCTGCAAAATGGGGAAAATATTGCACCTTACGTATAAGCCTGTTTCTATTCCACATTGATGAAGTTACACTTGTAGAACAGAGAGGCTGAGTAGAAAGAACCCAAATATCTGGTTCTTTCTAGTTCTGGATTTGCAAATGCTTAAGTTGATTTTATTGAGCTCAGCTTAGGTTTTGTTCATTAATTTTGCCCAAAGGTTATCTCATCTGAACTGTAGAATTTTGGCAGCCTAAATCTCATTTCTAAAATGTTTTGCCAGTTAATGCTAATTTAACAATAGGTTAAGTTTGAACATGAAATAATTAGTCTGTACGTACAGCATTTCTTTTAAATTATGTTCTTCATTCAATTTTCTCCAGCACAAGAAACTAGCCAACTTTGATTTCAAGTTGTCTTGCACCAGGGTAACACAATCTACCACAACAGAGAAAAAAAGCTTAATACATCTCTGAAGATATTTGTATTATTTTATCAGGAAAATTTTAAAAGATTGTTCTTTTAAATTTTAGGAATATTACCCTAATAGGAAGGAAAAAAATATAGATAGGTTAATGAACTTAAAAAGAAAAAGAACAACAAAAGCTATACTGAAACCAGAGAAACTTCCCAGAATAAGAAATACTTTGCAGGAAGGAATGAACACTCAAGTTCTTAAAGCATTACCCTTACCTCCCTTGTTAGAAACACAGCTATACTATTTTAGATATTCTATAAACACACATGAAGACAAAACACTCTGCACTGAAATCTTACAATCTAAAAAAAGCCAGCACTCTCTGTCTTCAAAAAGTTCCAAACCAACCACAGCACCAGCATCAAAGAGAAAGGAAAGGCACTTGGGATGGGGTATATAAACAAAGTATTATTTTAAGCTTTTGACTACCTTTGATCCAAGAAACTCAGCGCTATAAAGGTATATGGGGGATGTCGAATAATGGTTACATTAATGCCAGAACAGTTTAATAAACACCTTTTTCACCAGAAGTCTAAGTATAAGCAATTTCTACTGGTTATTTTTAACCTTGCTCCAAAGCATGCTGTTCACCAACTGACCAACTCCACAAACAATTCCAACAGACCGGCTGAAGGGATATTGGTCATTATCATGTCAGCAGGCATTTTACAAGCTCATGCCTGAAAAGCATCTCTGAAGAAGTTAACATGAACTTATGATGCTTCCATATGAGAACGGAGAGTGCAAAAAATAAAGCCTATCAGGAATGGGGAGAATCAATTATATCCTTTCTCTGAAGGTGTAATTTTAAAGAGTTGTGTTCAGCCCCTCGTGAAACAAGTCCACAGGAAACACCAGAGGTGACAGACCTCTGAAATCTACCCAAAATTCTTAGACACGATATGGTCACAGTGGCAGGTGAATGACTCTCCGGAACTGAGAGCAACATAGCTAGCTGCTACTGTCTGTACAGAAAATCCTCCGGTCCAAACAACTTTCTTAGTTACAGCCACTGAGCTAGTGGGGCATGCTTCTACTTTCTGTTGCAGTGGCAAATAAAATTGTGCCTAAAGCAAAAGGCCATCTTGAAGCTACTATTCTCACTTTTCAGGATTTGCAGAGTCATGACTATTTCCTACAGAAAGAAACAATTATATTTGGTGGGAGAAAATTTTCAAATATGCGCAAAGCCAGTGTCAAAGTAGGGATTTGTTCTATTAGATCAATGTGCAGAATGAAGATATCAGCTATACCACAAGCAAGTAGGACCTCAATCCTGCTGTCAAATGTCTTGGATAAGACTACTGAATCTCCATGGACCTGGGGTCTTCCAACACAAATCCAGTTGTAAGAATAAAGCCAGTTTACAGAGCAAGACAAGAAAGTACATTTTAAAATAATTCATAACAGGCTATTTTCCTCAAGTCTTTCTTTCATCAAAAAGGCTCATTCATATTCAAGGCAAGATTCACTTGAACCGAAGTTTGTGCCATCTTTCCCTTCGAACATCCAGTAATAGTTGAATGCCAAACATTAAAAAGAATCCTTTCAGTCTTTATAATACATGGAAAATCATCCTAAGTATGACAAAAGTCTGAACCAATAGGTTCCCTGGCCATTCCAACCTGATGAAAAACCGT